TTATTTTAGTTATTTTGTACATATTTTCTAAATTCATTTGTACAACATATCATTGTACAAACTTATGATATAATTGAAAAATTAATGCAAGCTATTTTAGAAACTATTAATTTATTTACTTATCTATTTTTACATCTTTTATTGTATTTGTGCTAAATACTAATGTATAAATGAAGGAATGCAAAATATTGTACAATACAAACTGTTACTGTTGCAGGGATGGTTTTATGTATCATGGATTGTCAGTATGACATTATGATCTTCATCTTTATCAACATCAACTTTAGCATTATCATCATCTGTCATAAATCATTTTCTGTCATAAATCTTGTAAAGGAATGGTCTGATTCTGGCAAGATGTCCAGCCATGTGCAAGCTCTGCTGCCATCTTGTGGATTCATCTGTGATCAGGAGCTTAAAGATGAAGATTTGTTTACTATTTGTGTTCAGTTTTACTTTTTTATTCTTCTGTTCACTCATTCTGTTCTCTTCTTCTCACTGTTCTGAATCGTAGGCCTTCCTGCGTGCTACTGCATGAAGACTGTAACTGACCTTCTCATTCCTGCATTTCCCAGAATCCACTTGTACTTTGTTTCACTGTGAGTAACATTAATAGCCACAGTGTAGAAAGTATACACAGACTGTATTACAGAGCCTGATTGTTATGAATCCACATGGGACAATGTCTCACTATCTCACTATCCACTTCAAGTCAAGTCAACTGCCGCTTAATGTCAGTGTACTGTTTCATCTTGGCTTGTTTCCTTTCCACAGTGTCATGGACAGATGAATTCGACATAGGAGCAATGGGCAAAATGTCCAGTCTGGTTCGCATTTTACGTCCATAGAGCAGTTCATAAGGTGAGGTTGAGGTAGTGGCATGAGGTGTCGCACGAAACACTTGAAGCCAGTTGGTCACAGCTTCCTTCCAAGGCTGTGACTGCAGGATGGCTGTCTGTATGCAGCCCTTCAGAGAACGGTGGAACCTCTCAATAGCTCCATTGGCTGCAGGGTAGTACACAGATGTCTTGTTATGGTGTATACCCCGGGTCTTAAGAAATTCAGCAAAGGCAGCTGATGTGAACTGCGTCCCGTTATCAGTGACAATGCTTTCCGGATTTCCATGACGGCTAAAAATGGTGGTCAGAAAATCTATGACACCGTCAGTTGTGGCGGATGGGCAAAAGGCAAGTTCAGGCCACTTTGAATAGTAGTCGGTCAATGTCACAGCATACCGACAAGCAGGAATGGCAGTCTCAAATGGCCCAACAATATCGAGGCCTAATTTCTTCCAGGGACCGTCAGGGAGTGGAACAGGTCGTAGAGGCGCTGGATGAGTAAGAGCTGTTTTGTCGTTAGACTGACAAGGGGCACAGGCAGATATACAGGTCTGAACCTGAGAGTCCATACAAGGCCACCAGTAAAGGTCACGCAGACGCTGTTTAGTGCGTACAATCCCCTGGTGGCTTTCATGGGCCAGGGTGATCAGTGTATGACGCAATGAGACAGGCACCACTAATCTGGAACCACGGAAGATGTAATGACCCTCCAGTAACAGCCTTTCTCTAATACTGTCACTCAACAAGCGTTCCAGTAGTTGATCACGAATCATGTCATCAGATTTGTCCTCAAAACCACAGGTAGCTGCAAGAGCACGCAAGGCAGCTACATATTGTGCAATAGTCTCATGTGGAAATTGAGCTTGCTTTCTGAATGCATAGCGTTCAACAACAACGTTGACTTTTAGGGAATTGCTAAGGCCCAGCAGGTTTAGTTTATTGATGAGCTGTTGTGGGATTATTGTGTTGAATGCTGAGCTGAAGTCAATGAACAGCATTCTAACATAGGAGTCTTTATTTTCTAGGTGGGTAAGAGCCAGGTGGAGGGTGGAGGAAATTGCATCATCTGTAGAGCGGTTTGGACGGTATGCAAACTGGAGCGGATCGAGTGTGTTGGGGAGGCTGGTTCACTTCTTTAAATACCACCTCTAGTAATGGCCTGGAGAGGAAGCGGTATGTGAGTGTCCTGTCACAGGTGGCGAGCAGCGCTGCAGTGACAGATGCGTCACAGCGACAAGTCAAGGTGAATGCCATTTATCTCTGGCAGGATCGTGCCACTGTGGCCCACCCATGTGATCTACTTTCACTATTAGTGAAGCATGAGCTCCTTAAAATCTCGCTTGCTGGAACATCTAAAGAGTTGCAAATTACCCTCTAAGGATTTGTAAAACTAACATAAGGACTGTCTCTCAGTCTAACAACTCAGTCCAGCAAAGTGACATGAAAGGTCAGTGTCAGGTAAGTTTTGTTCACTTTTATTTCTAATCCTAAAAATGTCAAAGTTTGCCTGAATTCTCATGCATGTTTTTTTTTTTCAACAGGACATGCAAAAAAATAACCAGGATCATCTCATGAGGCAAAGGGAAGCGATCAGATGCAGACTGAAGAAACTGAATGGCAAGCAAAATGAAATCAAAGTGAGTCTAGTGTGTAAAATAAAATTAAGCGGTTCTTTAAATATATCACAAAAACACATTCCAATATTATCTTGATCTTATGTCTACTCTGTAAATTTTATTTAAGATTATTGGAGTAGGTTTTACAAGAAAATGCTATTTCAGTCTTTCTACATCAATATTTCAAATTTAATTTGATGTGTTCATTGTCGTTTCTGTGTAATTATTTGTGAAATTTACTTGCAATTTCTGAGTGAAAACGTATTCAAAATCTTTTTTAAAGTATATTATTTACAAATATGTTTTATTTAAGATAATTATATACAGTAAGTATATGGCTATTTTAAGCCCTGTATTTACACTACTGTAGAAAAGTTTGGGGTCAGTAAGGAGTTATTTTTATTGTATTGTATTTAGGAAAGAAAGGAAACAAAGAAAAAAGAAAGAAATGAGTTATTGTATTCAGCAAGTATGCATTATATTGATCAAAAGTGACTGTAAATATATTTATGATGTTACAATTTTTTTGTAATGTTACAAATTCTGTTTTAAATAAATGCTGTTCTTTTATTACAGAATCCAGAAAAAAAATGTACCATGGTTTTTATTCAAATATTAAGCAACAAAAACTAAGCACAAAATCTGTATATTTTTAGTATATCATTATAGTTTTAGTGTATACTTCAGTATACTTTTAATATATTAAAATATAAAACATAAGAGCATAAGAGACTTCTTTCAAAACCGATAAAAATAAACTTAAATGAAATACAGTTAATCTATATTTTACTGGATTACCCAATTGAGTCTAACCATTTCCCCATCTTCCTCAGTCAAAGTCCTCTGCAATGAGAGAAAGTATAGTGAAGAAGTATGAAGAGATGCGGAGAGTTCTGGAGGAGGACTGTAGGATCACTCTGTCCCTGCTGGAGATGGAGAAGACGGCTGCAGTTCGAACGCTGGACAACCTCATTGAGACAAACTGCATCCTCCTCAGAGACATTGAGGTTCAGCTGAATGAAGGGATGATGGACAGTGACATACAGCTTGGTGACAGGGTGAGCCTTTTATCAGGAGAACAATTGGACAATAGACAGGTCAATTTCATCTTTTTGTTTTTCTTTAATCTACCATGGATGGTATGGGCGGTCATTATATAAAAATATCATGAATAGACCAGTAATTCAAATGACCAACAATACATGGTGAAACCTACCATCCCTGCAACATAATGCGTTCTCACTATATATTTCTGCCTCTCTCTCTCTCTCTCTCTCTGTCTGTCTTTTCATTAAATGCAATTATCCATCATGGTTTTCAGTTCAGCTGTGCAAATTATGATGTTTTGTAATGTATTGGTGGTATTTAGAGTGAACTGGTCTGTTCAAATGCTGTCATCTTGATAAAGTCTCTCTCGCTCTCTCTCTCTCTCTCATAGGTCACAATGTATGAGGACAGGTATGTATATTTAGAACCACACTTAAGAGAGATTGTTTTGTCACTATGTCAGACATTCTAGCCTTCACTGGCACAATGAAATCTGAATGACTCATCTGCATTTTGGCATTGTAGAGATCATGTTTGCCAACATCTAGTTCATGTTTAGGTTTATTTAATGTGCTGTTATGAACAATGTTAAACTTACTTGAGCAAACATTCTTAAATTATTTCATTCATTCTAGGGCTGCGGCTCTCCAGGACCGGAGTTCGCCACCCCTGCTATAGCCGGATGGGCTCATTGAGTTTACATGCACAAAAATATTCTGATACCACTCAAAATTTAGTAGATTCCAGTTAATATTCTAGTTTTGAAAAATCTTAAGACATCTGCAGTGGAGTATCCCTGTGTTAATCTAAATTTTAGACATTACTCTTAATTCAGTGAGGATTCATTAAATTACAAAAGTGGCAGTAAAGACATTTATAATGTTACAAAAGATTATTACACAATATTAATTTTTTTATGGTATTTTTGATCAAATAAATGCATTTTGGGGAGAATTTTACTTGTTTTTTTTTTAATGGTATGAATATTTTATGAATGGTATGGTTTGAATTATTTTAAATGGTTGCGTAGCCAAACAAATAGTAATTCTAGTTACTAACTTTAAACTCAATATAACCCTCAACCTTTTATATAGAGGACAGGTGTTATCTGTGGTGCTGATCTACTTTCTGTTGGCAGGGTGCTGGAATTGCTAACTGCAAACAGCACATAAAATTGATGATCATTTGCATGAACAATTTGCAGCAAATGAATGTTACTTTTTTTAGTTCACTGACAAACAAACTACAATAGAGTTCCATATTCTTTCAAATATATAAACCATAAGGGGACATTCACACAGAATGTGTTTTTTTTGCTTTGAAAAACCGCAACCCATAGGCAGTACAATAAGGGAAATAACGCAAAGTCTCAAGACACTTTTTTATAATTAAACTAGACTGCCTTGTTTGTAGAACACCTTGTCATGCACAAGACACCGCAAAAGATGCGAGACACAACATCAAAGATGTCTGTCTAGCGTGTTTACGTAGAAAAACAATGGAAAAGTGGCACAGTGGAATGGAAAAATGCATTCTCTGTGAACAGTCAGGGTAGTTTTGAACCCGTCTTCATTTTGCAGATTCCTCATAAGTGATCCTGGACCCTTCCACTGCCCATCCCAAGCTGATTATTTCATCTGAAGGGGACTGTGCCACTTTCACAGATGTATGGCAAGATGTCCCTGAGCATGAGGTATGCTTTGACACCACCCTTAAAGTCTTGAACATCCAATGCTGGGACTCTGGTCTACCTCCCGTAGACGTGAGTGGAAAGATCTACTGGGAACTGGGTCTCACCTACCCATCCATCTCAAGAAAAGGCCAAAAGGAGGACTGCTGGTTGGGCCGACATGCTGAATCTTGGTGTTTGGAGTACTTTGATGGAGACTACAATGCTTGGCATGGAGGTACTGCTCATCCTTTGCCCATTTCCACCTGCTTCCATCGGATAGGGATCTTCTGCAGTTTTCCTGGAGGTCTGGTGACATTTTTAGGGGTGGATAGCATGACTCCGCTCTACTCTTTCTGTGCTGGGACATTTACAGACTCTCTACACCTGACTCTTTGTCCAGGTCATGATCTTCAGGGGACAAACTCAAAGCCTATTAGGATCTGTCGATCCTAATCATCTTTATAACTCATGTTGTAGAATTTAGAAGATAAAGTAGGCCTTCCTAGCACAGGGTTGTTTGATTTCACTCTGCCTTTGCATAGATTAGATTTGTTAGTTCGTACTCCAAACTTTTGAACCTTTTAGTGTAAAGCTAACTAGAACTGTAACTGGAAGATATTTGTGTATTTTAAAATTCAAATAAAATTAAGTATTTATCCCAATGTCACACACTGGAAAAAAAGAATAACACAATGACATAAGATTTTTTAATTCATCAGAAGAATTATCTCAAACTTTGCTGGTAGATCAGAGTACACAACAGAAAACACTGTGACCGTGGCTAATATTTCATGGACATGCTACTGTGGGACACTGATTTTTTCATTGATCCAATCCAAATATTTAAGAACTCTGGTATAGACACCAGGCTTGTTCTTCTCCCCACAATTGTCTCCCCAGCTCACTATACCATAGATATAGTGTGTTTCATTTCTCTCACAGGTTAAAGGCCCACCAGAGTCACCCTGCCACAAAGAGAGTTTAATGTTAATGTCATTATTGTTACAGCAGTGCCATTTGCTTTTAATTATAGTAAACAACATTATACAGTTAAAATGATGACCCACCTGACAGGAGTCTACTCCTCCCTTGAGATAGCCAGCGCAAAACATGCCGTCATCCAGCAATGATGCATATACTTTATTGCTGGAACAAGCCTCCTGAGAAATCAGCAAAACCTGTGCATCAAGCAAATGCACAGAGCCATACTCTGCTGCAGACAGGAAGGAAAAGAGAACAGATTCAGTCCTTTCATAGTTCAACACAAATTCAGAAATAGACATATGGAAACATACACGTCTCTGTGGCTCCCCATCCAGAAATTCTGCATTCTGTTCCATCTGCAAACGGTGCTTTGGGCAAGCAGGCGGCCTTCACAAACTGAGTTTCCTTAGCACATTCTCCATTAGTAGCCTTGAGTTTTAATAGAGCTACACAACAAGAAAGAATAAAAAAAGAAAATACAAGAAAATAAAAAGTACAGACTTAAAGTAGTTTGTTGAGCTTCTCGTGATTTTTATAACTAAATAGCCAGATTAATTGCATGGAATCTAAAAAATAATGTGATCAAATTAACATTTTTGGGGGCTTTTCTTCTGAAATTCTTATTCTCTGAAATTCTCATTCCCTTGTCCTTGTCCTTGTCTGTGCTTTTTGATCTTTTTCTGATTTTATGCAGGGGTTTCTCCTGTCTTGTTGTGTGTTTCTGGAAATTCTGCCTAAATAAAGAATCCTACAGAAGAGCTTTTAGATCAATTGTTTTCTTTGTATGAGACACCAACAATACATTATGGGTAGCCTATTCTCTAACACCCAGTTGTACACTACTTATTGCAGTGCATTATGGGTTTGAATGAGTACACTACATAATTTCAACTAAAAATGGCTGACGACCAATTTGGAGTAGACGTCACAGTTACGTCACTTGCAGCTGCGCGTGCATAGTGGTGGCAGAAAAACACTGGGAACAAGTGGAGGGAAACGAGTAAAATCTATGGAATAAGAGAAAAAATGTATCGTTGTGCCTTTGGATGTCAGAATCGGAATGCAAATAATTTTTATATAACACTGTCGTCAAAGACACCATTTGAAGCTAAACGCAGACGTTTAAACAGACAGACTATGGATGAAACCTGCTATGATTACCCTACTTTTAAAGCATAGCACACCAAAGAAAAGGAAACACGACCTTCAAAATAAACGCCTGATGAGTTGAAGAACAGAAAGCACTAGAAAATCCAAACAAAAATAAAATGTAAAATCTATAACACTGATCATTATTAAAATCCTGTTTGTGCGAATGAATGTCTACATACCAATATCATTGTAGACAACATCAGGGGTCTCCTTGAACTTCTCATGGATGATAGTGTCCTCAACCAGCACAGTCTGATCTGTTTGCTCCTTTTGTATCAAATTTAGTCCTCCCAATATAACTCTGTAATCATGCTTTTTATCACTGTTCACACAACAAAAGATAATAAAACCAATATGGTTAATTTTAGATTTAATGTGAAACTAAATATATTGTTAGGAGAACATTTTCCAGTTTATTAACCACAAAGAAACATTTAAGAATATTGAAATAATGCAGATAAGACGTCAGATTTAATATTAAAAGTTAATTTAGTTAAATGCAGTGAAATATAAACTGAAGCTGTTAACAGTGATCATGGATTGAGTTTTTGAATTTTTCTGTGCTCATTGGGTGGATTATGTACTTTAATACTGTAGCCTACTAAAGGCCATACTTACATACAGTGGGCAGCAGTCAGCACCCAACAAGGCTTGATAAGGGTGCCTCCACAGATGTGTCTGTACTCTTGGATGGATCCTTTAGGCTTAACCTGTACTGATACTTGCCATGGATGGGCTCCAGGAATAGCTTTAAGACCCCCGTAAATCCGGTTCACTTGTTTTTTCGGCTCAGGTTTACCACAGGTAAGAAAATCCCTTGTTAAAGTATAGTTCTTTGGTAATGTGGTTGGTGGGACAGGAGTAGTGGTTATGTGGACTGAACTGGTGCTCTCTGGGGTTATGCTGCCATCTGGTAGGTGACATTTGTGGAAACAGTGCAAAGTATGAGGATTTGTATAGATTAGAGTTTGACATTACTATAAACAGCTGGTCAATAAACAAGTTTAATATTAAGTAACTTAAACTTTAATATTTACAATTAAGACTGGAATACACTACATGACTTTTGCCCTGATTTACAGTCTGGGGGAGTCAAGTTGCTGAAAGTCAGAGACAGTCTGCAGATTTTGGGTAGTCAGGGTCGATTTCACAAAAAAAAAAAATGTATAGTGTTTTTTTTTTTAGCTTTAGTCTATGAATCTGTCCAGTCAGAAGATATCAAACATGCCTAATTTTTTTAGCTGAGTTTATCGTTTTCACTCATTTCAATGTCATTATAATGTCCAGTTTTCTCTGTAACTATACAAAGTCATCAAGTGTATATGTCACGCGATGGTTCTGTTTAGTTCCTGTCTGTCATTATTTGGTTCATTTGCTGTGTTCAATTAGTTAATCACCTTCATTTGTTCCCACCTGTGTCATATTAATCATCTCGTTTGTTCCTTAGTTTGCCTTCCTTAAAAACCCTCAGTTTCCATGTCATCTTTGTCTCGTATTAATGTTGCTTTAATGGTGTAGTGTGTTTATGTTTATTAAAAAGACTCCTTACTTCTACTCCTTCATTGTGTGCCCTTGACTAAAACCACGCACCGTGACAGAATACGAGACCCATACAGAAGATGGCTGAAAACGAGCGGTGTTGGAGAAGGCAGCTGGTTCTGGTCCGTAGGGCGCTGGCCGATTGGAGGTATCGATCGCCGGCTGCTCGGAAGTCGAGAGGGCCGGTCGAGCATCACGCAGGCCCATCGGCTGATTCAAGGTCTCGCTCGCCGGCCGCCGCCAATGCATGCCTGCCGGCCACTGGCCTCTCAGCGTTGCTGGACATGACGCTGCCCCTGGAGTTCACTGCTCCTATCCTCATCCCAGAATTGGCTCTAGAAAGTTTTCCTTCGTCTCCTGAGTCTCCTTCGTCTTTGCTGGTTCCGTCCAGCTCCCCATCGTCTACGCCTCTGCTGGTCCCGTCCAGCCCTCCATCGTCTCTAGAGCGCCCCCCAGTGCCAGCTCCAGCCCCAAAATTCGCTCCAGTGCCAGCTCCTCGAAAGCGCTTTGCTGTGCCTGCCCCTCCAGAGCACCCTCCAGTGCCAGTACCACGTAAACGCTACCCTGTTTTCCCGTTAAGCCCACGAAGGGCTCCTGATTCCGAGTTAAGCCCAGGAAGGGCTCCTGTTCCCGAGTATAGCCCAGGAAGGGCTCCTGTCCCCGAATTCAGCCCAGGAAGGGCTCCTGTTCCAGAGTATAGCCCAGGAAGGGCTCCTGTTCCCGAGTTAAGCCCACGGAGGGCTCCTGATTCCCCGTTAAGCCCAGGGAGGGCTCCCGTTTCCCCGTTAAGCCCAGGGAGGGCTCCTGTTTCCCCGTTAAACCCAGGGAGGGCTCCTGACCCCCAGTTAAGCCCAGGGAGGGCTCCTGACCCCCAGTTAAGACCAGGAAGGGCTCCTGATTCCCCGTTAAGCCCAGGGAGGGCTCCTGACCCCCATTTAAGCCCAGGAAGGACTCCTGATCCACAGTTTAGCCCAGGAAGGACTCCTGATCCCCAGAGCTCGCTCCAGTGTCGGCTCCAGCCCCAGAGCTCCTGTCCGCGAGTTCAGCCCAGGAAGGGCTCCTGTTCCCCAGTTTAGCCCAGGAAGGACTCCTGATCCCCAGAGCTCGCTCCAGTGTCGGCTCCAGCCCCAGAGCTCCTGTCCCAAGGTTCAGCCCAGGAAGGGCTCCTGTTACCGAGTATAGCCCAGGAAGGGCTCCTGATTCCCCGTTATAAACTGATCCCCAGTTTAGCCCAGGAAGGACTCCTGATCCCCAGAGCTCGCTCCAGTGTCGGCTCCAGCCCCAGAGCTCACTCCAGTGTCGGCTCCAGCCCCAGAGCTCGCTCCAGTGTTGGCTCCGGCCCCAGAGCTCGCTGCAGTGTCGGCTCCAGGCCCAGTGCCCGCTCCTCGTAAGCGCATTCCAGAGCGCCCTCAAGTGCCCGCTCCTCCTGAGCGCCCGCCAGAGCCCGGTCTTCCTGAGCGACCTCCAGGATACCTAGTTTTCCCCAAGAAAAATTTTTCTGCCTGCTCCGCCATGGCTCCCTGATCCGCCCTGGAGGCTCTCCTTGTCTCCGCCCGGTTCCAGTCCTGCACCAGCCTCCAGGGCGCCCGCCCTGTTACGGCGCGGGACGTGCCATCCGGGAGGGGGGCGATCTGTCACGGGATTGGTTACGTTTAGTTCCTGTCTGTCATTATTTGGTTCATTTGCTGTGTTCAATTAGTTAAACACCTTCATTTGTTCCCACCTGTGTCATATTAATAATCTCGTTTGGTCCTTAGTTTGCCTTCCTTAAAAACCCT